TTTTTTTTAGGTGATGCTTGTTTGATAAATCTTTGAAAAAATCATCTCAACGTAGATATCAATGAGGATACAATGAGGTATTATGACAGACACTTTCCTCGTCCTATGGGATCATACTTGCCTTTATTACGCAACATGACTTATTGTTACACATTAGCTGTAGATGCACAAATAAATTCGATTAAATGGATTTTGGAACAATCTCGTGCACCAAATGTGAGTTCATTGTTAGGATTAGCTGAAGGAGTCTTACGGCATCCATTACTGACTTACACAGTATTAGTAAATACTTTCCCAGCTGATCAACTAACATCTGTTTTGTCATTAACATTACATATAATTCATAACCCTTTTGTTTCTTTGGTAACACCACCAATTCCAATGGCAGCATATCCTGATCTTGCATATGTCGGAATAAACTTGTCCTTTCAAGAAAATACTAGAGCTCGTGGACCAGCAAGATACCGTGGAACTCCAGACGCCAATGCGGTGAAATCAAAGACGTTTTTAGATGCCTTTGTTGTAAGGATCCGTGAATTAGAAGCAGAAGCAGGACAAAGGGCTATGTCACTAGCCAATATTATAAATGCTTACGGATACCATCCTATTCCTGGTCAATTAAATAAATTCGCAAAACAGGTTACTGTCGACGATGAAGTCATTACAGAATTGGAAATTACTAGTGATAATCTTGTCGATTTCATTGAAGATCTTGGTGATGAAAAGGATATCGCATTTGAGAAAATAATGACATATGCAAGATCTGCTTCATTACAAGCCACAATGCCAGTGATTGATACAGAAATACCTGTAATCAACGGAGTAAATGTTGCTAATATTCTGCAATCAGAATATACCGAACTTGGAATTACTATACCGGAAGACTGTAAATCGACTAGTAATTTGTTGCAATAGCAAGACATACCATATCGTTTATTTACAACATTGCAGTTTGAAAATGTAGATCCTCCCAAACATGATAATGATGAGGGCAATGACGGAGATAGCGCTGGAACATTAGTTCCAGAAGCAGGTGCAGTTGCTCCACAAGATCAACCTGCAGTAGAAAGGACTTAAATCAGAATTTCTACTTATATTATTATTAATAACTGTAATTGACGTATTTTTGTTTATCATTCACATATATATTAATCTAAGTTACTAACATTATATTATAAGTCAGTTATCATTACAAGATTGAAATAATCTTATATTACTTGAATTATTACCACTTTTAATACTTGATTTTATATTAAATTACTGAAATAACTTGAATGTTATTATTACTTGACATTAC